GGGACACCTACAAGCAAGGCTTCCAAAGGGAAATTGTACTGAGCTGACACCTACATAACAGCAGGGTGAACAATCCTGCACAGCCCTCCAACTCCAAACAGATTTTTGCCAAAATCCGATCTCTAACATCAGTGCCTGCTTGAGGCCCAAATATTTCCAGAACTGTGGTCCAGTTTCTAAAATTCCACTTAAATCCAGCCCCTGGTATGCATCTTACCACACAACTAAGAGAACAGGTCGGTAGTAAGAAAAAATTAATTGACCCAAGTACTTGATGTAACAAGTAGAGACTAAAAATCTTGGTCAGGCTGTTTAAGGTCTAAATGTGCTCCTCACCTTTACACAGACAGAGAATTCAGGACTCTCCCAAGGACTGGTGTCACACTCAGACACTGATGGCAGCTTCTCCTGCTTCACACACTGGCAGATTTGGACACGATGCTGAGCACAAGCACAAACAATTCTGAAGCCCTGCCTCACACTGAGATGAAGAGGGAAGAAAGTTTGAGTGCTGGCACTCCCAACTTTTTGGGGTGTTTTTTTCCCAGGAGCAGATGTTTGCAGGAAGTCTGTATGACATCAGACTGCTCTGGTGTTTTGACAGGACACAAAATGTCCATACAGTAAGACTGCACAGGCAGCTGTCATTATTCATCCAGCATTATCTCTCAACGGAGTTATGGGTATATAGAGCATTTGTGTCACTGCCAATTAATCAGTTGTTGTCACTATCTGGTTATCAAACAAGCAATCTGGGAAATCTGAACCATTCCCACTCCCAATGGTGCAGATTCCTCTCCGCTTTCACGCTGTGTGATTAGTTCCCCTCTTCCCTAATGCTCAGAAACTACTCACAAAAAACTTTTTATCAGAAAAGAAACTTTCAGATGCAACTTTATAAAGAATTTGCTCACACGAATGGAAACATCTATTTCATACTTAGCTGTGCCCACGATGACTGGCACCAGAACAAACCCTGCAGTTTCGTTTGTGCAAAACTCATTACCCCAAATCTACATTTACAGCTTTGAATGCTGATCTTCAGCATGGAGGAACTGAACTCCCTCATCTGCTGAAGCACACAGGAAAACATCACACAAGGCATCCAGCAATGCTGCTGAGTCATTAGCCTTGCTCAGTAAAACTCAGAGACAATTTACGTTCAGCTTTCTCTCATTTGAACCATAGCTGCCGTCCTGCACCTCTCCCGAAGAACAAGACCAGAGGATGGTTATGAGGGGGAAAGTTGATGTAAGAAACCTGTGGCTTACCCAGAGGGATTTCACCACAGTGATGCTCAGGAATGACTTTTCTTAGTAACAGCGGAAAGCTAAAACCACTTTTTCCCCCCCCAAATAGCATTTTTGTCATTGAAAGTGAGAACGAGTGAATACAGAGGGCTGACAGACAGAGCTTTATCACAGGACAGGTTCAAGCTTGCACCAAGGCAGTTCCAGCTTTTCCAGCCCCATCCCTGTGCTTCCTTTACAGCCTCTGACAGCGCAAGGGTCAGCTTCCATCCTCACTGAGGCACTGCCCTCTCTGTGGATCCTGGGAATCAAGGCAATCCCACATGGCAAATATTGTGGTTATTGTGCTTTTTTGAATGAACTGGGCAAAAAAATCCAAAAGACAATTAAGGAGGCAATGCAGGGTGCTCTGTACAATCATTAATCTGTACATCCCAGAGGGGACTCAGAGGTGGGGAGAGGAATGGGAGCCTTGGATTCCAAATCCATCCCTGTGAGCCACTGGGACCTCAGAATGAGGGACCGCATTTTCACTGACAGAGAGCTCCTCTGCCACAGGAACAACCAGGTGCTAGCTCTTCTTCTATAAATACAGCGTGCATTCCATTTGCAAAAACAAAAACTCGATTTTGACAAGCAGGGATAAAAAAAGCACTTCCTGTTGATCTCACAGCACACCACTGAAGCCATGACCCGACTTAAAATTCTCCAGTGAAATAACAAAGACGTGTTTATTGTTCCATAAACAAACAAGAGACATTCCTTGGCTTTGTCCTCACTGAGATAACGTTGTGTATGGGATTTTGCTGGGAGCAACAGGCTGAGCATTGTGTCAGGTCCTTTGATCTCCCCTGCCTCAAGTACACAGAGCCTGAAAGATGAGTGATAGGGAGGACAGAGAGAGAAGGAAAGAGGGAACATGCCACTTTCCTGACCTTTTACTGCCTGATGGCCAGATGACACAGGCTGTGCAGGGAACACCAGAATTTTAAGATAAGCAGGGGAACGTCTGAAGTAAGAAGAGTTCCTCCTTGAAAGAGACTGCAAAGCCATTTAAAGGTGGGTTTGGACCAAAACCATCCAAACATGAATCTTTCTTTATGAATCAACAAAGTCACCACTGAGCTAAACTGGATTTGAACAGAGTTTGGAAGGCACAGACTTTCTAGTCTAGCAGCTAAGCTGAGCTCCATTCATGTCAGCATAGGTGGGCATCTGTTTTGAATCCTCTATGATAAAACCTTTCCAGAAGCAAATCCAGCCTGACTCTCTCAAACGGCACCAGAACTAAGAGGCATGTCCAATTTCTATCAGACAGACTGCAGTGATAGTTAAAAATCACTGGTAAAATGTGAGGAAAAATCAACTTCAGTTTATTTCTAGCATATACATGCCCCTAGAGATCAGATCCAAAACATTTAAGAGAGTCTGCTAAGTCAGGAATCTGAGCCTCTCCCACTGACTGGCTGCCAAACTCTCCCTCTAACTCCAGACATGTAGCAAAACAACATAGGTGAATTTGGTCAATATTTTCATTGTAATGTCCTCTGCACAGGAACAAGAGGCCTTTGAGGTTCTCAACTTTTCCATAACCTAAACTCATCCTAGGATCCCCATGACTGCAGTCACTTTTGCACAAAGCCCACCTTTTAACAAGAGAACTGTTATTGTGATAGAGCCCTTTTAACCAGGGCACTTCAGCCCACAGCATGCACAGATACAGCCCAGAGCTGGTCCTGAAATGAAAGTAAACCATCCTACCATCTCACTGGAGCACTGAGGCAATATTTTAGGACCAGCCTGAATGACTGAAAAGATAAGAATTAGAGTCAGTGTTGTTCCTGCATTGCTAGCTGGCTCCATGTTTGCTTTTCCTTTTTCCCTCCTTCTTGCTTCCATATGTCTGCTCATGTGTGTTTGGCTATTAAAAGCACTTTATCAATACTGCAACGCCTCAAAACTCATTTCAGAGGGATGACTTCTGTGGCTCCCATGATTCCTGAGCCGCCCACGGCATTTGTAACTCGGAGAATCAGAAACTACCACACAGACAATGTTGCTTTTCATACAAAGGCACAATAGGAACGAATGTATTAACCTCCGTGGTGCATGGAATGTGTCAGCTTACACACTGGCAGCTATTTCTGTGAAACTCAGCTCACTTCCGCTGGCTGCGGTAAAATAAAATAAAATAAAGCAAAAAAGTAAAAATCTTCCCCAGAGCAGTGTCCCACGCTCCAGCAGGCTGGCCAAACAAGTGGAATATGTGATGTGTGCTGCACACACAGGGATGTGGGCCAGGCTGGGCTGGAGGATGCATCGCACAGGCGGAGGAGCTGAGCCTGGCCCTGCTCGCACAGAGCTCTGCTGCAACGAGGGGAGATGCACTGCAGGGCACAGCTCGGGGCTTCTCTGCTTCTGGGACAGAATGGCAATCCAGGCTCTGCACAATCACAGTCCATTTCCACCTTGATTTCCTCTCAATCCCACATATCCTCCTACCAACCCAACATACACGACAGGCAGCAAAATTCCCACTGTAGCAATGGACACCACACTTGCTTAATTCCAAGGGCTGTGTGGCCGATCAGGAATATCCAGACCCATGGACAGCCTAATGCCTCCAAAATTCAGAATACTGACAGTCTCAATCAGATACATCTGGCTACCAGGTCACCTCTCTATTGTAGCTGAAAACAACCCTTCAGTATCTTTCCACCTGTTCTCTCATTGTCCATGTTAAATTAGAATAATCACTAATTATCTGCACTACAGCAGTGCCTAAAATGCTCTGGGCACCATAAAACACAGTAGGGGGGGCAGTTATTGCTCTGAAGAGCTTATGGCCTGAAAGGACATAATCATGTTAACGACTTCTAAGCAGTTTAAAAGTGCTTGTCAGGACAGAGCTCTTCTGCCTGACAATCCATTCCAGCATTTTGGTGTTTTACAGCCTGCAGGAGAACAGTCTAATGGAAAAGTGCCCTGGTTTCAGCTGGGACAGCACTGCCTTTCTTCTCTAGCTGGTACAGCGCTGTGCTTTGGATTTAGGATGACAGTATTTGGTAACACATCCATGTCTGGGCTGCTGCTGAGTAGTCCTTACCCTAAACCAAGGATTTCTCAGGTTGTGCGAAGCTGCACAAGAGCACTGGGAGGCAGCAAGGCTGGGACAGCTGACCTGAAGTGGCCAAAGGAATATTCTACAGCAGAGAATGTCATTCTCAGTTAATGAACTGGGGTCAACCACTGCTTGGGGACAGGCTGGGCGCCGGTCAGCAGGTGGAGAGGAATTGTTTTCCTGGGTTTCATTCTTCTCTCTTTTCCATTAAAATCATTGCTATTGCCACTATTGCATTTTACTTGATACCAATTATGGAACTGTTCTTATCTCAGCCCCCAGGTTTGACCTGGTATTCCCCAATTCCCACTTTTGGGAAGCCAGAGAGTGGCTGGGTAGCACTGAGCTGTTGTCTGGGGTTAAACCACGCCAGCAAGAAAAGCAAACGTCCTGCTATGAGGAAACTCAAAGTACAAACCTAAAGGCAGTTAACTTGGCAACAGGGACACAAAAAAGCACCAAAAACTTGCAGCAAGGTGAGAGGACAACGTGTTATCACTTGATGACTCCTTCCGTGCGCAGAGAACGGCCCGCAGACCCCTGCTCATTGCGCTGCGTTGCACAGGAAAGGAAAACTGCTTTTCATATTTACTTAACCTCTGCCTCCCCTGCATTGAGCCGGGACTTACCTGCAGTTGGAGAGGGCCTAAGCCCGGCGTTGCTGCGGCAGCAGCTGCCATGGTAGTTGGGATCAGCTGAACGGGGTAGGGGTCACCTAAGCAAGAGAATAATAGAGGCGTCAGCACCTTTTATCTGCTCTCCACCTGCAAATTAAAGTCCTGCATTCACTCCTTCCAAAAGCCTTCCTTTGTGTGCCTTGTTGAGGCCTAATGAAAAGCTCTATTGTGCAGCCTTTTACTAACACTCTTTTCACAATTCTGGCTGGGAGAGGAATGTGAATAAAAGGCACAAGCAATTAAGGCGGAAACCTCATCCTTTTTCATGATGTATTTAGGGAAATGGAAAAAAAAAAGTGCACATTGATCAGAAGGCTGCACTTCAAAAAAAGGAAAGAAAGAAGATGGGGGTGGAGGAGAAGAAAAGGAAAACAGTACAACCTTGATAAGATCACAGCATTAGAAGGGAACAAATTTACAAGCTTGTCCAAAATATGAAGTTAACTAAACTCCGCTCACTGTTAGCAAACTGAGCCTCACGCAGAGCAGAAATGGCACTCAATTGAACACTGTTTTCTTTCAGGGGAGGAAAAAAAATCTCACTTCAGTGGCAGGGTTTGATCCTGCAACAGGAAAAAGCACGTGAAGCTAAGGAAACCAGATACCAGCCTTTGAAATCCCTGCACCAACTCCACTTCATGGCTTGAGATTCCATTTTGCTTCTGAAGGAAAACTACTTCAACTTTTAGTAAGAACTGCATTGTGCCTAATGAGATAAAGGGAGCCAGTAAAGGCTTTAAGAAAAATTGCAGGCATTTATAAAGGAAAATTACCTGAAATGGCAAAAAATTGAGATGGAGACCAGCTCGTTTTAATGATATGGAGAGCTCACTTCTGGTCAACTCTAACACTTCTGGTATGTTAAAATAAACTTCATACTGCCCCATCCACAAAACTATGAAGAAAACTAGCAAAAATAATAAGAAATGTTACACACATTATATTGGTTCTTCAAGTTATAAAGTGTTTTAATGCTTTCCACCCAAATAAGCCTCACTAGAGCATTTCTGTATGTCCCTATGTTCTGATTTCTGTAGCACAAAAACACACTATGGAAGACTACGGAAAAAGCAGAACACTCTATCAGAAAAATCTACCTAAATGTTGCTGTACATGTCATTAAAAAGACATATTAAAAGTTTTCCCCTTTATTGTGCTTTTTTGAAAGAACTGGGTGAAAAAATACAAAAGACAATTAGGGAGGTAATGCAGGGGGTTCTGTAAAATCATTAATAATTATTATTGAATTAAAGTTTCAAATGTTATCAAGCCTTAGAGAAAACAAAGGGAAATAAATTTATGTAATTTCTTTTTAAATGTTAGAAATAAGCTGTGTTGGTGTACACACATTCAGGTAAGTGGCTAATGTTTATTTTTCCTTTTTATAATGCAATCTTCTTCAGTTAGACCTTTTGATCTCCTCCTGTTAAGAATTAAACACCACAACGTCTAGTAATGGAGGACCAGCAGCAACTGGGTTGGCAAAGCATCTTAACAGATATTTAACTTAAATAAATGTGCCTGTTTATATTTAAGAACACCTTAAGTAATGCTTTGTTGACTGAAGCCACTCAGGGCTGGCCAGCCAAGCAATGCAACCCAAAATGTCCACAGGCATCCCCATTCCCAAGGGTCTGTGCCACAACAATTCCATTTATTTAGTCGTCAGTGGGCAGCAGATTTCCTGAGGACTGAATCAAAACCCCTTCTGAGTTGGCATTTTCTGCAGAGCTACCTTGTGACCTGAGCAGTGGCCCCAGACATGGGAAGGCACAGAGAAAAGGAAACAGTGGCCAGAGAATCAGGGACAAAGGTGTCCAGCTGCTTCCACAGCCCCCCAGAGTGAGCTCAGCATCATTGCAAAACTCCCTCCTAAAGAAGACGTTCTGATCAAAAAACCACCATGGAAGAAAATAAAATTTTTAACTTCTCAACTGAGAAAAAGAAGGAATGAGGGAAATTTTCACAGCAGGATGCTGATTCTTACAGCCCATTAAATTTCTAGTTCTGAATTATTTGTATTAAAACACAGATATTAAAAGATCAAATTTCCATGCACTCTCCCACGTTTCTCTCCACACACAGCCTCAGCCCATCATGCCAATTCCTAAATCCCACTATTCCCACCAACAGCCCAGTGGAAGAGCCAGGACTGAAACCCACAGAGAGCTCCAGGCGCAGGGAAGGTTCTGGAACTCCATCCATGAAGCACTCGGACACTGACACAGTGCAGGAGCACCTGCCAGCCCCCAAAACACCAGCAAAGAGCTCAGCTCTTGTCTGATAAATGCACATTTTCTGCTGTTGCTCTAGAACATGCTGCATCTTCCACTGCATCCTTAAATTTATTCCCATATCAGAGTGAACTTATTGACTAAACAGTTTAAGCTAACTCTGAAATTTGGGAAATGCATGTCTTAACTATTACATTACATCTTATTTTTAGATGTAAGAAGTAGCTGCATTTTTTTTCCCAAGCTCTAGGAGCATTTCAGGAATGTGAGACAAGACAGGCAGTTCTCAGAAATGGGCATTTCCCAAGCCACTCACAAGTCTGTAACTCTGAAAACACCAATAAAACCTCAAACAACCGTATTACATTCCCATTTCCAAAATTCATTATTAATCAAATGCATGCAGGTAGGAGCGTCTTTCAGCCACCAAAAGAAACATTTTGTGCAGTCATTTCATGTTCCAAACTACCTCTTTTGTTATGTGTGGACTTTTTGCACAAACAAAGCAGCAGAGAGAAGTTTTATTGTTGTTTTCCTTTAGTAGGCCATATGGTAAAACACAGAGCAGATCAAAGGCTGCGATTTTTATGGTGACAACAAGGTAAAAATAATTTCATCAGCTAGTGCATTATTGCCTAATACGTAATTATTTCCCAGCCAGCTGGTGACATCACTTTGAAGAGCAGAACCCTTCAGGGCTGGCTGCATAAAGAGAACCCAGGATTTGTGCACTGGAGATGCAGCAGCTGCAGAAGGGCAGGGGAAATGCCAGCCTGGGGGAGCTGAGGGGGGATAATTCACGGGGAATATCAGAATATAGAGGAATCTTATTGGTGCCCACTGTGGGCAGTGCCAGAGCACGAGGCTGAGTCCTCAGTTCTGTGCCAATACTTTATTTCTCTCTCTATCCTTCTTCTGGTCCATCTTCCACAGACATACCCAGAACCTCCTTCCTGATAATTTATGCACTGCAACTTCTTTCAATTCCAAATCACACCTTCGTCCTTGCCCAAAATAATCCTCCAAGATCTTGCTTACAAGAGGATTTTCCATGAAGCACATTCACTCCCAAACCACTTTTTCTATGAACTCTCCTGTGATCCTCACTGAAAACCCTTTTCTGCAGGAGTTAGGCTGAGGTTCAGAGCCAAGGGGACATCCTGTCCCAGCACACAAAATAACAAAATAATAATTCCTGTGTTTAGGAACTGCATTTTCAGCTGACTGGCTACCAGCTCACCGGTGTGAAACCATTCTGTACTTGTGGAAATACAACAATGCCTCTAAAACCATTTATATGTTTTGCAAAATTTTATCAAAGGAGTTTTTAAAGTTAAAAAACATTAGGACTCTTTTTTTTAAGTGAAAATAAAGCATAAGAGTTAACATGATGTCTGTTGCACCATTCACCAAAACCCTGAAGATGTTTTTTGTATTCCTTTTTCTGTCACTCATCTCATTTATTCTCCTTCATGGCGCAATCCCCCCTAGTGTCTTGTCTTGTCTCCTGACAGGCTGCAAGCTCTTCAGAGCAGGCACAATTGTCTTGCTTGCTATATAAATCAAGTTACATGCTAATGTTAAATTATAATGTTTTGACAGGATTTTAAAGTTGAACCTGATTATATGAAACAATAGAACACTGATTTTTTTTTTCCCCCTGAAATTTTCTTCTCTTAAAAAAAGGATACCAGAAGAGTAGAAGCAGGGCATTTATTGCCTGTGATTTTTTAAAAACTCATTGTTTTTTTCCTACCTATCTTTCAGGGACAGCAAATGAAAAAAAGTTGGAGACCATGGAAGAAGAGAAAAGAAAACAGTGTAAAGAAGATGAAGGGTACAAAACAAAACCTAACTCCTAAATTATATTTTACAAGACCTGCGTGCTAAAGTAAATTCCATGAAAAATACTAAAATAACCATTTTCTTACAGTACATTCTGTTGCCTGAAAAGGAATGCTATGCTCTCTTCCCCCCATTTTTGACAAATTCTAGAAAAAGCCACAATAATTTTACACTCCATTTATCACTTAAGTGCATTTATAATGAATAATCGCAGCTGATGGCCAGCTGACAGGTAAGGCACTGCATTTCCTCTCCCCACTCATTTATTCTCAACCTCATTTTCCTCTCGTCCTCTTGGTGAGATGGTGGACATACAGAAAAAGGAATGGAAAGATATGAGCAGTGTTCCCTGACTTCTGGATTTAAATTAATAAGAAAAAGATTATGAAGAAGACACCACCAGTGGCTTCCAAAAGGAAATCCCAGCTGGTTCAGACCTGCCCCACAAGGACAGCCAGATGTGGAGAGCTGTGCAAACAGCTGCTCTCTGTCCTTGGAGCTTGGCAAGCTGAGTAAAGCCCTGAGTGGTCTGAGCCCATCTCCTTGAGGACCCTGCCTGAAGCACTGCAAGCCTTCAGACACCCCTGCCAACCAGAATCATCCACGATTGCAGGATACACATTTTTTAATGTTTTTCTATACGTATTGAATAAATTACACTTATTCAAAAACTGCAGCTTCCAAGGAAAGCCAAAGTACTTCCACGAAGGTCTGTACATGCTCATGAATTAAAAAATCCAGGACTTTATTCCGTTGCCCAGCTATGGATAATGGTGAAGCACCAGACATTGTTCATGGCCTGGACACTGAGCTGGAACTGCCAGCCTGTTTTACAGGTCCTCACTGTTCTGCCTGTGCTTTGGAATTATGAGGAGAAGCCACACAGAGATGGGGAGCTGTGCAACTCTTCCATTTAGAAACAGCCTTCAGTTGTGCTCTATTCTGCATCCCTTCCATTA